GGGGTTCGTTAGCCGGAATTAGGAAATTTACGTTATTCTTATTTACGACTCAAATACATAATTAATTTTTGAAAAAATAACATTTGTTTTTATAAATTTTCTGAAAGAAAAATTTTGTAGTTTTTATTTTATAGACAAAACATTTGAAATGGATTTTTAATTGTTTTTTATTTTGTTTTTAATGAATTTTAGTGATGTTTATGATAATTTCAGTAGAACTACAAAATTCAAGCTAAACAACAAACTAAGCTTTTTTGTACATACAAGTATTCAAAGTCTATGCAAATCAAAAAGTTCTTTTGCATTAATTTATTTAAATAATTAAAATTTTATAGTTTTTCGTTTTTAATTTTAATAAAACAACAAAATAGCGGGTGTATTTTTCTTTCCGATAATCTATTATATTAGCATTAACGGAAGGTTGAAAGTGAAGGTGTAACTTTTAGCAACTTTACGACGGCGTTGCATATCTTCACTCTTCCACTCGAATAACAAACAATGTAGTTAATTATTAATTCATGGCTTAATTAAGTTATTACAACATTAAATTGATTTACAACGAATTTGTAAACATAAATTAAATATTTTAATTTTATTTTCTAAAAATTTTTTAGACATTCACTTTTTGAATGATGTTTTTATTACTGATATTTAATTGCTTATTTTTAATATATTTCTAAAATATTTTATTAGGTTTATATTTACGCTCATTTACACTTATTTTGACAGTTATTTTAATTTCACCTTGAGATTAAAAAAAAATTAGTGTGTGATTAACAGAATTGTAAAGCAATATTAGGCTTTCAAACATTGAACGTTTACGAGTGATACATACAATATTATTATTTAATACATTGTATTTGTATTTTGGTGAAAGTAATTTTTATAAAAATATATTTATTTACATATTTATTTAAGTTTATAAATTTTGAAAAATGTTTCTACATAATATGTTATATCATTCTATTTCTCACAGTGGCTCTTCAATTACTAATATATAATTTATATATATATAATTATTTATAATATTTATAAAAACATTTACTTGTAGTAACTCTATTGCTCTTTAATATAACACACTATTTGTATCACGGTGTACAGTAAGTTCTATTTGAAATAACTCGTAATAAATAATTGCCCCACGTTTTTTCCAAACCTTCGTTTTTGTGTAATTCTGGAGTTTTGTTTAGTACTTTTTGACACAATGGCCCATCTGTGTTGTGGTGTGTAGTATTACCTTTATAATCCCCATTTCATCTACTTGTCAAAAACGATGCATTGACCTTTATAACGAAGCTACAGTTGACTAATAATCGATCAACAAGTTCACTCGATAACTCCCTTCTAGGTAAGGAAATGCAAAGAGAGAAAGAACTAAACATCACCATTTCTGACATTTACTCACCTGAATTTAACTGTCACCAAAAGTTCCGCTTGCTAATATCAGACAGAAATGATTACCATCTGCGGTAAACCGATGGTTCCAAAATGATGAAAGGAGTGGAAGCGGGAGTTTACGGGGTTAAACCAAAAGAAGAAATATTTGTGAGTATCAGTCAAGAAAACTTAGTGTTTCAAACCGAAGTACAAGCAATTTAACTATGTCTAAGAAAATATATGCACAGACGTGGTGACAAAGTTCCCAACCCTTCCAAAATCTATCTATCTATCTACCTATTTCCTAATAATTCCGTATAAATAATACTAGAATTTTCTATATTGCTTGTTAGCACTATAGGACCCCTGTATCGCGGCTTATAGTATTCCCTATTGCTCTACTTATTTCTTAAACTGCAGATTTTGCGCTATCCTGAAATTTTTCTTCAAATTGTTTTACAGCTTTCTTTCCTAGGCATTCGCATTAGAATCATTTAATGGTATCAATTTGTTTTATTTACAGTATTTGAATATATAGGTTGTGTCTTTAATAAAACAGGAATGTATTTAGGTTGTTAAACTCTGGATTATTGAATGAATTGTGGAATGAGTAATGTTGTTTATTGTTAATTGCAGCTATTTTTCCTAGTACAATAGAACAGCATTTAATCACTTTTGCCACATATACAAATCATCAATTTATTGCCTATAGTTATAGATTTACTTAGAGCATTTTGTAGTTAATGGAGTGTTAATGGAGCCCTAATAAAATATGTAACTCGATATATAAGAATAATTCTATTTGTATAAAGCACTAAAAGTATTTACAATATTACTATAGTACAGTTAGCATTTAGTGTTTCTAAATCTAAAAAATTATATATATTTTATATTATATATCTATTAACATTACAAGTATATTACAGAAGTAATAAATTAAAAAAGAAAGACCTTAACTTTTAATTTGTTGTTATGATTTGCGTATAATATGAAAAGTAAATGAATATTACAATAATTTTTAATTATTCTAAAAGCTGAAATAAATCAGTTTTTTTATAATTCTAAAGATGAATCTTTTACGATTCCTACAAAAAGAAATTCAAGCTTCTAATTGACGCTTTAATAAAATTCTATACGATATTAATACATAAAAATAATTTTAATCTTATTTATTAGCATTACATACTCGTATTTTAACAATAATTTATTACGTCAAGAACCAAAATTAAAATTTTTTTTTTTTCGAAAAAATGGGATTCATTTAGCGATTCATAAATCCAAAAGTTAACACATTCTTTATGGACAAAATTAGCATTTTTATTAAAAAATTACTTTAACAAACTTTAACTACTGTTAAAATGATATCTTTTCCATTATAATAATATTTTCATAATTATGACATTAAGTCATAAATTCTATATATTCGCTTCTTTTGTTCTTTTCTATAGAAATTCTTTCAAATAAAAAACCGGATAATCTTTTTGATTATATATAGAAATGTGATGCTAAAGCTGAATGATTAAATAAGCCATTTTAAAGCAAGTTTTCACTGTACCAAAAAATAACTTAATATTTATTTTATTTTATTTTTTTTTTCACTCAAAGCAATTAAATTTTATTGCCGTAAAAGTGTAGCAGAATTTTCTCAGTATGGATCTTCCTCCAGACGTACAGACATTCAGACGTATGAGTGACTTACACTTAAGTGTTGGTGTCGTTTATTACAGTAGCAAATTAAGGCAATTAATTTCAAAACTTAAGTAACATGAAACGGAAATGAGCAATAAAAAATGAAGAAAATGTTATATGTGGAAAAGTATGAAATAATATAAATATTAATTTTTTTTTGTTTGGTTGTAAAGAATTAATGATTGTAGAATGTAGAAATAAATAATAAAAATAGTTTTCTATGATTACGTTATATGACGGCAAGATAAAAGTTTAATTTCTTCTTATACTTACTGCATTTATTTATTGTTTTTTGTATATTCATAAACGATTTCTTTTTTAATTTGTTTTTTTAAATAAATAAACATTTTATTAATTTGAATTAAATTTAAATTATTGTACTTAATATATGTGTTCTTATCTTTGGACTAGCATTTTTTGATATTGTGCATATTTTTACATACAAAATATATTTTAAAGCTTAATTATTTGGTGAAAATTATTGATTTAAGACATTAATTTTTGGTAACAAATTTTAATTATTTTCATATGACTTAAGTCCTTGCCACAGCTGCTTGCTTCTTTTCAATTAAGCAATCTAAAGCGCGGGTTACGTCCTCAAAGATATCATCTACATTGCGTTCTGCATTGAACTGAAAGGAGAAGAGAATTTAAAAGATACACTGATTTTATTCCCAATATCTTTTTGAGTTTTATTCTTACTGCCACAGTCTTGTCAGTGTATTGATTTAATATTTGATTGGTGTTACTTCTAAAAGTGGCAATACGAGTTTTAATTGTTTCCTCATTATCGTCAGCTCGTTTTTCGGTTGACAATGCAGCGCGACCCATCACACGTGCAACCAATGTTTCCTATATATAAAAATCAATAAATAATTATATATATAAATATGACTTTTATATAAAAAACATAAATATTAAAATGATATACATTTATTTGAAAAAAAAAAAAATAATTAAATACGTTTATATACGTTTTATGTGATATATGTAATATGCTATTCAAAAAGTATTCGGCGTTTATATTTGAAATCTAATAATATTGAACTGATTAGAAGTTTCGAAGAGTAACGATGTAATAATGTACAGAATATATTACTAGCGCATGAAAAGATTTATTTTAGGGTACACTTTAGCAAGAAATTACCGAAAAATATTTTACTTGAATGCATTTTAATAAAATCGGAAGTAAGAAATCCTCTGCACTATTATTGGTCTGTGACCGATGTAAAATCCATGTATCTACATTGGACGAAATTATGGAGAATGAACAGGAAGATCGCCATGTAAATATTTTGGATATTGCAGAGGAAATACAGATGTAAGCACCATATTGTTCTTAGTCATTTACATAAGAATAGTTGCAAAACACTAAGCTAATAATAAAGGCTCGTGAGCGTGAAGAAATTAGTAACACTGATTTTAAGGACATATCTTTCACAACAAATCGAACGAATACTAATAGATCATGATCTGTTAATATATACAATAGTATAGAAAAATAGAAAAACAATGGAGCCCAACACTATAGCCATGGTTCATCTTTTGTGTTAGTTAATGATGTCTTAAGAAAATAAAAGCAACTTCACTCCGCCTTTCTACTGATAGCAGAAACCTTATTTTGAAGTAGAAACTAGGACAGTAATAAATAATGAACTAGAAGGCTTCCAAATAAAGCAGAACCGATCAGATGAACCGATTTTATTAAAATGATAACGCGGACCATAAGGACCCATCAGATTACCTATTAACCACTACTAATTAAGAATACCTCAATGTAGTTGAACATATACGATAATGTTGAAAAAATGATTAACATAATTGATTAAAATAATCAAAAGTAATCTACCAATAATGTATGTTACGTTTACTTTCCAACAATATAAGTTTTTTGCGCAATAGGATATTTATAATTCTTATATACTTCAATTCATGCGTTGGATATAAAGTAGTTCACATGGAATGATTTATGTTGACTTATTTTAATATTATTTTTAATACTTGTTTTGTTTCGCTTGGTTCACAACTCTCGTGGTTATATGGTGGTGTGTATAACGAGATTTTATTCCAAATAATGATGGGTGATGCGTAATTTAGCAATGATATACATTAGGTTTCCTTTCCAACAATGTACTTGATATTGTTGTCATCATTACTTGATGATGCAGTACGTGCTAGATTGCATTTGAATTGTTTCATGTAAATTACAAGATTAATATCTTCATATAAATATAAGTATGTTTTTATTATAACTCAAGTATAATACATTAAAACAATCAGTTATAACAGTTAACAGCACCAAAAATTATGCGAAATTAAGTCTCAGCTAAATCCATTAAAAAAATAGATTAAATATGAAATAAATTTTGTGTGAAATATCTATATAAACATCCTGAATATTAAAAGGAAAACTTCAACTAACGATTGCAAAACCAAAATTTGAATTATAAAATTGTTAAAGTTGTCAGTTTTTACTTGAAAACGCCGAATACTTTTTGTCCAACCTAGTACATTAGGAAACAATAAAAAATTACAACAAATAAGTACACATATATATATAATACTGAAATAATTTCAAAAATATATTATTTTATTGTTGTTATATTTGAGAATTAAATTAAATTAAATGAATTGATTATTTCTGCCCATTTACTTATTTTAAAAAAGTAATCAATTAAATTAAATTATTAGAAACCAAATATGTATAAAAATTGTTAAATATTAAAAAAATTGTTTCTTACATCAGCACAGTCGAAGAAAATAATTAAATCAGCTGGTGCTATCTTCTTTTCAAAAGCCGCACCCTGATCTTTTTCACGTGGGTAACTAAATCGATAAAGGTATTTTTTTATTTTATATATAGTATCGATGTTACTCTTTAAATTCCAAGACTCACCCGTCAATAAGATAACCTGTAGAATTAGGCAAGTTTTTTCTAATAGCCTTTTCCAATAGGTCTAGAACATCATCATTGGACACCAATAGCCCCTGTTTCATAACTTCAGCCAATTCTTTACCCTTTGCAGAGCCGGAAGCCACTTCATCACGTAGCAAATCACCACTGCTTAAATGTGTGAAACCGTATTTTTCGACAATTTTGGCACATTGTGTGCCTTTGCCACAGCCGGGACCACCCAAAACCCAAACTATTGGTACACCAATCTATAAAAGAGAACAATATTTACATAAGCACATAAATACAAGAATAAAAATGCTAACGAAATTGCTATATAGACATAAGCAGCTTTATTGCAAAGAGGAGGTTTTCCATGAATTCATTGAATTTTTCCAAAACAAAATTTTATTACTCTGAACATTCCTCTTTGAGACTAAACACACATAAAACTAAGTAGTTTCGTATGTTTATCGAGCGGCATTTTGTTAGGCTATAAGCTCCTCGGTTCTGTTATTCACAGTTAGTATGTTTTGCATGCTTTAATTTGGAATATTTTGTTTGTTATTTTAAATGAAACATAAAAAACTATATAAAATTGTTTCAACATTGAATTTTCCGAAAATTGTTTTAAAGCTCTACATGCACACCATACATCTTAGTTACAAAAGTTGACAATCGTCCGCATAACTTACTCCGATTTGCGCTCTTCGTAATAGCTCTGCTTTTTGTTTATTAATGGCTTCCTTCTTCATGGCCATTTGGTGACACATGAACAACTACACAGAATGAGTGGAGGAGTAGGATAACGTTTGAAATTTGCCATTTGAAATTATATTCAGGGTTAGTAATAAAAAAAAAAGAATAAACAAAGTAATGCTTTCATGCTAAGGATTGGGAGAGTTTTTGATTTAAAGAGGAGGGAAAAGGTTCCAGAACAAATATATTTTTAGGTAAATAAAAATATTTAAAGATTATGTTAAAAAAGATTTAAAAAATTAAATACATTATAATTTATTATATTTTGTTGATTTAATAAAAGAATGTATTTTTATTTGACGAAAAATAGTAAATAGATAATAAAATACCAGAAAAAAGAGGAAGAGACTAAGTTCACTTATTTATTTATTGTGTGAGAAGGAACAATTGAAGTCAAATAATCAAATAATTATGTATGGACAAAATATATAATAAAAAATTAATTGCCTTTAACCAGGATAGCATATCAGAAATGATGACATGCTGGATGTTTATGCCCCTTTATAAGAAAGCTTTAGGCAGTCATCACAAAAATATAGAGTCTCACACACAGAAGACACCCGATAGTATGCTCCAGTTGAGGTCCTATATATTTTAGTCTTAAACTTGGTGGGTTGCGTGAATTTGCGTTCAATGGAATATTTCCTTTATTAGTAACGCTTTAATATTGTCGAATAAAACTAGTAGTCACGAGTTCCAAAAATAGGATGAACTCTCTGTGTTATTATTATTATAAAAATTGAATATTTATATGGACCTTAGGACCTATTGCGGTCCCTCTACTTGTTCTAAGTTCTAACATATAAACTCAATAAATAGTAATATTTGTTCTATTCCTCGAAGTTTCAGATGTTGTCTATCTATCTAAAGCCTTTTTTTGTTTTCAATAGTTCAGTGCCGCTCGCGACACATATTTCGCGGTTTCCCCGAAACCGTCAAATTTCTATGGACACAATCTATTCATATATATATATATATATATATAAAAAATTATTAAAGTGTGTGAAGATCAAAAATACCTTTTATGATTTATGGATTATACATATGCATTTATACATTTTATCAATCATCAAAAATGTCTGAAAGATATAGTTTCAAAAACCTAACAAGCATACAATTACAAGGTATAAATCAATAGCACTTGTGAAAATGGATTTATATTTTAATTTTTTTTAATATAATTTAAATAACTTATAATTTGAATTTAAAATAAAATTTTTAATAATAGTCTTTATATGTTGGGCTTGCTTCCAACAAACTTCTAAACGCACTTCTGGAGAGTCATTAAAATATTCGATGAATTAACAGATTGCTACAGTAACACTAGATTGCTATAGAAAGACCTAGTTTACAAGTCTAAAGGAAATTCAGATCTGTAATGCGATGATTATGAAGAGGGACTTACTTTTTAAAACTTTTTGATTCATTGGTCATGTAAAGTTTAGTGCCATTTTACGAAATATATAATAATCCAAGCATACTGATGAACATTATTTGAAACTTAAATTTTAAAATAATTTCCGTGTTTGTAGATTATATAGGTTGTATATCAAATATTAATGGTTCTTCATGTTTCTTATGGAATGTTTTAGTATTTATTTAATATAAGCAATTAAATTAATAAACAATGTAAGACATTATAGGCAATAAGTTAAGAATATTTGTTTTTGGTTTTGAGAATAATATTCAAAATTAAAATGATAATCATATTAAACGTATACTTATTCAATTATTTTTATATCTGATTGGTTCTAAGTTTAATCTTTTTTTATGAAAATCTCAAAATTTTCTACTTAACTGGGTTTACTTTCAAATAGCAAAAGCAGCTGCATATTTAGACTGAACAGAGACATATATATCAAAAATACTCAGTACAAACTGTTTCAATTCTATTAAAGAATATTAATTTAATATATACTAGTACAACAGATAATTTTTACTAAGTGATTTTAACTAGCATTGCAGTGTTAAAAAAATTAAATTTTTTATTAGAAATCGGTGAATCACTACTAAATAAAAATTTAAAGATCAAGTGATGGCCTATTTGTTTTTCTTAAGATACTACATTAGAGAGTAATATTACAAAAGTATATTTTAAGGGTATATCTCGATACAGATGTTTATATAGTCTGAAAACTTTCATTAAAAAATTCATTGTTTTTGAAATTGTAATGAAATTTCTCAAGAAATTCATTATTTTCTTATTTTTCTTATTTTCTATATATATTAAGCATATAAAAATTTTAAAAATATTAAATATTTTTATAAAAAATTCTATTAAAAATTATTTTTAAAGTAGTGAAGAGTGATTAATGACTTTTGTATGAATTCTGTAAGCTATTATCAATCAGTTCATTGGACATCAACAAATAAATTGGAACGTTTATATATTAAGCAGATTTCGTAAAACCGTTTCAAATCATCATTAGCAACTAATAAAGTTATTAAAAATATCATCATAATAATTTATTATCAATTAATCATTCTAATGGATTATTCCACTATGAATTTGGTTATGTAAATTTAAAATTTAACAACTTTAAAATTTGCTAAATAACACCGTCGGGAATATTCTTTCACATCTGCAGTCTCTTCATATCCGTTATTTATTGTATCTTTGAGATATTTTGATGTAAGTTCTCACGATAAAAATACTGTGCGAAGTAAAATAAATAGGAAATCGTTTGTTTGCATTAAGAATGCAAATAAATTTTATAAAATTTGAAAATGTAAATTGTTTACAATAATAAATTTGTAGAATTTTGTTTATCTACAAATTTACTTAAAATACTTATAGAAACATTTATAAATAATTGCTTAGAATACTAAAGAAACAAGAAAAATTTTGGTAATGAGTATGTCAATAGGTAATAACGCATTACAAATACTTGGCAGTGAGCCCTTTTTTTATCTATATAGTATATATGTGATTTATATTATATATGTATATGTACAATATATAACCGCACTGCAGTGAACATATATTTAAGCAAATTTTGAAAGAGTTCACACAGATCGATAATAATTATGTTTCATTTTCTCTATATTTTCTATATAAATATATATTTGTATATAAATATTCGTGAATATTGAATTAAATAAATTTCGGCAACAGTTTACATCAATTGAACATAAATATGAGGTTAACATATATATATATGTCATACTCGTTATTAAATGGAAGAAATTAATTATATACATATATTAAAATTCATTATATATCAAAATCTTTAAGATTATTTCAAGAAAAGTTTACTAGTTAGAAAATGATAAAAATATAGTGAATTTTATAAAATAAGATAATACAAGATAAACACACTTATTTACATCATTCTATTTTAACAATACCTTTATTAAGAGACTCAAAATAAAATAAACTAATAGCATCACTTTTTTATGATAATGGTTATAAAGGTATAAAAAACTAATTTATGCATATAGTAAATATTAGAAGTCGTTGTGATCAACTAACCAAAGGCATCGCTACATCGAAGAGATTAATGTATTTAGAAGTCCCGTAAACAATTTGTTTCATATATATTTATTTTTATATAAAGTTATTTTCATGCATAATTATTTTTTATACACATTTCTATATATATTTATAGCATATAAATAAATATATTCCTAACCTAACCCATTGTAAACGTGTATACGTTTATATATTCCTAATAAAACCTATTATAGGCGTGAATACGTTTGTTAATAAAACTTTCACAGCAAATTAATAAAACTCCAGAAAAATCTGCTAACATAAAAGTCAAGTACGGCTTTGGGTCAGTTGGCTAAGAAGCGCTGACTCTGAGCTTCAAATTTGGCAGTGCACGAGTTTGATTTCTGGTACTTGCAGTCTCAAAAGAAAAAAATATTTAGGAATAATTAAATACAAAAATTATTTCCAAGACCACTGATATTTGGCAATACTTTAAACAGCTGTATGGTCAGCCAAAAATTTATTTAATTTAAATAATATAAAATAATTTATGTTGTTGTAGCTCATTACTGTTCGAAACTGTTCTATCAAAAAGTATTAAGCAAAAATAAATATATTTCGAAGTAGTTCAAATAGTTATATTGAATACTATATAACAATAAATACAAAAAAATTCTGATTTTTAAGCTTTTATTTTACTTTATTTAAGCGTTTTCATTAATTATAAAGAAAAATAAATATAATTTGTTTATATTATTTGAATATTTACGACAATAATATTTTAGAGTTTCAAAAATCTCTCTTAAAAGAAATTTATAATAATACATAATATAAAAAATATAATAAATGTTGCGGCATCATCATAAAATACAGCGAACATAAAAATTTATTATGAATGGTTTTTTTTTTGGAATCGTTCTTTTAGTAGTGATTACCCACCATGACTTCTACAAATTTACCACAATAAATTAGTTTGTGTTGCTTTCCTTTCAATAAAACTAAATATAACATATAGGGTGAGTCAGATTATTGTATGTGGGTAGGATATACCATCATTATTTAAAAAGTGGTAGGACTGATTTCTAATGACTAGCCACCACTGTAGTCCAGTTGTTGTTATTAAACTATATACTAAGGGCATGGTTTTATAACTATGATATGATTATGAGGCCGTGACAGTGACAAAGCTCAAGAAGCTGGAGTTTTGAGCACAAAGAAAATATCCAGGTATTGTTATTGAACAATATACTGAGGGTATGGGTTTGTAACTATATGGTTATAAGGCCGTGACAATGACAAAGTTTCAGAAGCTGGAGTTTTGAACACAAAAGAAAATATGCAGATTGATAGTGATTAAGCTCCAGAAGATGAAGTTTTGAAAGAAAAAGAAAAATATGCAGATTGATAAATAGAATAGGGTTAGGTGATAATATCTCCTGAATTCAATGACCGAAAAATTTTATATAAAAAATGTGTCTATTTTGAATACTTATCGAATTGCATGACTGAGAAGACATTTCTACCTAAGAAAAATCTTAACAGTTTTTTTATAGCAAAACTTTTTGATCAATAAGTATCTTTGCTGATGTAAAGTTTTTTCTCACA